CTTGTACTTAGTGAATGGGGCACTGCCGAGTGTTGCAATCGGTGAAAGAGTACAAGTCATTGTACTGGTAACAGCATATCACCAGGGGCCCGTCGGTGCCATCGAGATGTGCTTGTGGGTGAGGCGGGGGAGTGAAGAACTCGAAGCCCATCTTTCCACGCAGCCACCATGGCCTTGAGGCTTGAGAGCTTGACCTTGACCTTGACCTTGACCTTGTCCATGTCCAAGTCTCAGTCCATGTCCATGTTCATGTTCCACAGCTTGACCTTGACTTTGACGACCACCGTGGTAGGCCCATCTGTCATGGTTGATGGAGTGGGAAGGATTTGCGGCAGTAGCGAGATGGCTGATCGATAAATTGATAACCGGCTTCATTGTCTGACCTGACTTGCCGCCCGGATCGACGAACTGGTTGGTGACTAGAAGGGAGAGAGAAGGCTCTGCGAAGGACAGCGGAAGTCGTCTGTTCCGTCAATAGGCACGCGCGTTTCTGAAGGGGAGCCAGCACTTGTCACGTATCTGTTACCACTCGGAGTCCGCTGTCAAGACTACTGCAATGCGTACTCCGTATCAGATACTCGAAGCAGGTTCCTGAGCATGGTTTCCTCCACTGTCCGCATGCTGAACAGGCATATCGGTAGTGGCCACACTCCATAGGGAGTACCAGTAGCAGTAACAAGAACGAGCAGTTAGCTGTGCCTCTGAGTCGGCCCTGCATTTGTCTGCACCTTTTTGGTCCGCCGGCTAAATGACGTCAAGAATATGGGGGAGCGATCCAGACCTATATTTAGGGTTCCATACAAGCGAACTTGTCCATATCCTTAGTTGTAGCTGGCCATAGTCCAGGGAAAAAGCGATGCGGGCTCGGTCTCCGTGTAAGCCGAACCATGTCCACGCCCTCTACAGCTTGTCGTACGCTCGTAATAATGGACAATGCGCTGAAGAATCATCAAGTCGTCTCACTGATTCCAAGCCGCCAAAAACAATCCATCATTACAGGCCGAGGGTACGAGAGCCGCCAGCAAGCCGCGCCGCTTGAGGCATAGCTTCGCGACCACAAGCGGGATCCTGGGACTGGCCTCCAGACGAAGAAACGCCAGGAACTGGTAGATGCACCCCTCCCCTGATTTGTCCCCCAAAGCCATCCCATCCCGTGGGGCAGAGGCACTGGTGGAATCTGCAGATCCGCCGCAGCCCGGCCGTCGCTAACACTAACATGTCCCAGAACCAGGCTAGCCCATAGAGGCCTGTCAGGACAGGAACACGTCGCGCCAGGGGGGCCTGGAAAGCTGGAGCAAGTCAAGGATTCAGTGTTGCTCTAGCCCGCGGTGCTTCCGCTGCGTCTCTTTCGTTTGTCCTTTCCCTGGTTCTGCCCTCCAAGAGATCGATTGTGCTGTACCTCCGTACTTGTGCTCCGTAGACAGGTGCCGGGATCCTCGACGTGGGCCTCGCGATCATGTGGACTGCAACTGACCAGGGCAAGGGATCGAGACCAGGCAGGGCCAACATGTCGTCTCCCGTGCTAGTGTGAGTGCTGGTACACTCCCCTCTTGCCTCATACCCTGACGAGACCGCAAGAGAGGCCTTGCGGCCCCGGACGGATTTTCGGTGCAAGCTCTGGGATTCAGGGTATGTAAGGCAAAGCGAGGCTCAGCTCAGGGATATAGCCTGGAAATAGCACGAAGCACCACTAACAAAGTTGCAGTGCGAGTCCTAGGCACTGTATGAAGAGGGACAATGCACCATGGTGTATCAATGCCCATGGCACGGGCTGCCAGATGGTCGGTGGAGTTGCTGGCCGCATTGATCCGTCTAGAAGACCCGGCGTGTCTGGCTGTGGAGCGCCGGCTTGATAGAAGCGACAGCTCTGTGCTAAGACAGGCACAAGTGCTCCTTAGTTCCACCTACATGGCGCCACTGGGACCGACGGATGGACGAGGTTTGCTGGACTTGTCGTTGGTCGCGCGTGTCTGTGCCTGTCAGTGCCTGTCAGTGCCTTGTGCCTGGTGCTTTGGCTAGCGCACGTGTGACACCGTGATGGTGATGGTGATGCCGATGCACTGATGCCTTTTGCAGATAGTATGAAGCAGTCCACAATCCAAGCCGAGTTCGGCCCTCTTCCCCGTGACTTGCCTCGTGATCTCCCTTATTCGTATTGTACTTGTATGCTTGCCTGCCTCTGAGGAAAGAACAAGCGAGTGGAAGCGGCAGTTGAGACCAAGCGGCTGTTTCCGCACCGGTTTCCGCGCCGGTTGTCGTGTTCCGGAATATCTGCGCCTCCGGGCCGATATCTATCCTCCGTTCTCGACTCAGAGGCATCGCAGCCTCGACTCTCGCAACACCAAGCAGAGTTCGATACCTACCAGTAGTACGGGTATGCAACACCACGCCCCTCGACGCACCGTATTCTAGGCTCTCAACCCCATTTCCCGCGCCCCTGGCACTGGAATCACGTCTTGCCGCCCCCCCCCCCCCACAGCGTGTCCGTCCGCTCAGTTGACGCTTTGGCCTCTCGCTGCCCTCACCAGCTCGACTCCAGAAGCCTCCCGCGTCTCCGCTTGCCACGCCAGGCTCAGTCTAAACACCGAAGCTCCGTCATCTCATTTGCCAGCATCACGTTCCTCCTCGTACTGCGGACCGGAGTCGACGCCTTCTATCTAAACTGGAAATCCGTAGTGCTGCCGACGATGCACGCACGGAGCGTCCGATTCATAAATCGACTACAGAAGTATTAGTATATGCTTACTTTGAAGCTCCCCATCCAGCCCTGCGTTAGCTCAAACGAATTCGACTACTAGTACTTGTACTGATACGGGGAGAGGCGGAAGCCCGGCAGATAAGAGAAATGAACTTGGTCGGGGTCCCATTGCCACCGCGTTGGCTGGAAGTCCATGTTTTGTAATCGACCGCAGGCATAACCAGATGCTTTCTCTGCCGGCGGAAACCTTGCGGGACACGGAAAAGAGAGTCGGCCAGTTCTGCCCTAGTACGAGTACTGCCTAGGTAGTCCTAGGTCTGTCGACCACTCCTCCAGCCGTTAGCCTCGCCCCCGGCAGAGCTTGGCTGCTAGGGCTCCTGCGAGCGAATCACTTGGCCCCGTTGTCCCCCTTCATGAATCGCTGTCAACGGCACTCGTGGGTGTAAGCGCTTGGCGTCAACGATGGCTTCTCTTCTCCATGTCTTGGTTGAGATCCCGATGGAAGTGCCGGGCGTCCATCAAGGTCCACACAATGTGGAATTGGCCAAGACACCTCTCAGACTCGTGCGCCTTCTTCAGGATCGGGGACCACAGTACACATCGCTTGTCGCTCACGTTTTCTCTCTCCTCCCGGGGCGCCCTTTTCCGCACCTGTAGCCTGGTCATTCCGCGGTCCGGGCTGTCGTCGGAGGCGAGCCAATCACAGGCACCCAATCCGAGAGGCGATTACTCTCTACGGCGATTCTTTAGTTGGCAGCGCTGGCGCCAGCCGTTCCCTTTCCTGGTATCGACGGCTGACTGTCGGATAAGCAGAAGGCTTGGTAGCCAAAGTCAACGCCTACTCATCCCTTGCTGCAACAGCCAGGCTTGCTCTCGGACCGACCATGTCATCACGAGAGATTGATTCCATGTAACTGGAGACGGCAAAACATCAAATGCAGCCGAACAGATGGGCTTCAGAATATCCATTCATCGCATAAACTATTATTATCAATGCCGCTACAGATTATAACCCCCCCCTGCTGGGTCCTTTGGCTCGCTACCAGATATGCCTCCACAAGCCTCACGCTCAGACCACTGCAATCTCTGTGCTTACGCTCTGATCTGATATCTCCTAGAGCCGTCAACACCTTGTCTGCTGCTATTCCCGCCCTGAATGGTTGAGCCAATAAGCGCAAGCGGCCGAGCAAGTTACCAGAACGATCCGGAGTTTTTTGTGCTTCTCTGGTCTTGCCTACTGCCTCTGGTCATCTGTCGCTTTCGCCATGTACGCAAGTGCGCGACTCATCTATCAATGTCCGGCCTCCCCTGGACAACAAATTGCCCATCACCTCGGGCTTCACAGCCCGATGACATACTTTAGCCGACGAGACCCGGACCTGGTTCCCCTGTACACAGAGCCAGCTCCGGAGAAATTCTACCAATATGTCTCCTTTGATAATCTTGACAGCATCACGATGCTTGAATCATGGACTGACTGGGCCTTAGATATCGCGCAAATGATACGCCTCATAACAGAACGTGATGAAGGGGAAAATGGCACAGCGAAATGATCTCACGGCAGGCTGTGGAGTAGCGCGCCCTCGTCTTACCGTACGCCCAAGAGGTTGCTCGCCTGTATCTCTCCCGAAGCATGCCATCGGACGAGTACCTGCCGACGGCGGTACGTGCCGCGCCTCTCCCACCCTCTGTCATCTTGACTCTCACCGTTGCCCGCTCTTTGATATACGGAGGTGCCACTCTCCGCTCTGCTACAGGTATGTAGCAGATGATGGGAGATATCCCACCATACAGGCCGACGACAAAACCACCAACAGCTTCCATGGAACAATACGAGTACTACTCGTCCCTATCCAACGGCCCCCCACCACCTGCAAGCCGATCGAAATAGGAAGAGGATGTGCATACCAGCATGAGTGATGTGAGAAGAAGGGGGGAACAACACCTTGATGGACCCTGAAAATCTCACCTCTCTCCCTCGCCGGCAATTTCATGATACACGCCATGCTATGATAAACCACACCTATTCACCTTCGAATTAGCTTCACTCCTTCTCACTGGCCCCCAAAACAAACTTCCCGTCCATGCGGACCGTAGTCGCCTCGACCTCGAGAATATTCCGCTTACTCGAGGCATCTGCCGAATCTGTCCCGCTTCCGCTAAAATCTTTTGCAGCAAAAAGCGCTCAGCGGGGAGTGAGAAAGAGAGAGAAAAGCGCCGAGTCTCGATTCGTCTCGCTCGCCCACACCTCTCAAGCTCATCTCAAGCCCCAAGATGGTGGCGCGCACGCCAAAGCCACAACCCACCTCCTTGTCATCATCCCATTGCCTCTTTTGATCCTTCGTCTCGGGTCTCGGACCAACTGATTCTGATCTTCGTTCGAACTGCACGCCCCCCCGCTAGTGCCTACCGTGGCTGCGTGGGAGGAGGAGCGCTGGCTACGGAGATCCCCCGTATGCTTGTACAAGAGCTGCGGGAGTGTTCAAATGTCTCAAGCCTTCTGCACTCCCTCTACGACGTACAGAGTCTATTTTTGTTAGTACCACTCATGCCTATCTCTACTACTCCGTTCCTGGCAGTGCAACGACGCAGGTGCCTTGTTCCTGGTGCCTTGCAGTTCGATAGTTGACTGCTACCACACTACAAGCACTTGCCAGGCGTTTGTTCACTCTGGGCTGGCTAGTCGTGCCACTTTCTCTACTCTTCCGTTACAGCGGATGGACATACGGAGCCCTTGATGTAGCCGGTCCGCTTTCACCCACCGCGTGGAGCGCGTTTGCTTTGGGCTTCATGAAACCGGCCACGCCGAAAGCTAACAACAACGGTATCAACCACGTTTGACGCCGCCGTCCATCTCGTATGTCATCACACAGGTGCTAAGTATCATTAGTGCATGCATGTGCGTACGGGTATGGAGGACGGGAGTACGGAGCATTCTGATAGCCAGCCTGAACATGAAGTGTCAGTTCCTGGAGAGTCGGAGTGGCGTGCCCACCCACATCACCTTGTTATTACCAGTACCACACACATTTGTCTGTACCATGTAGCTCGTACGGAATAAGGTAGCTGTCATCAGGATTCGATACTACTTCATCATTCACTGTCTGTCCGGAAGGAACATGCCAAAATTGATGCCAAGATGTAGATTCCCGCCAGCTAATGCAGCCAATAACTAAAGTTGATACCTCCCAAACAAGCATGTAGTATATGCAGACATTCATTGCCGCTCGTCATAGACGTCCAGTAAGCTATTATACAAAGATTTTTTTTTCCCATCATGCGATAACGTACAGGTCCACTGACAAAACAAAAGAAATATACACAGGGGTAACAGTAAAAAAACAAGAACCATAGCAGACGAGCCACGTGCGAAATATGTATAATCGAAACAGGAAGGAAGATATTTTTTGACTTCACCGTTTCCCCCACCTCATGATAACACCACGAGGCAATAGTATGCCGTCGTATGTTGAAAATTGATTCCAGGTAATCAGAACATGATCCACTCAACCCCGGCTCCTGGCCCGCCGAGACACTTGGTCCAGTTGAAGGGACCTTTGCCAGTTCCCGCGGCGTCGTAATAGTGAAGTTTGGCTTCGCTCTTGACCTCCCCTGACCATAGCTTCTCGAGTACGCCCAGCGCTGCCAAGTTGTTCATGTAACCGGATCGGCTCATGATGCCACGGCACTTGTCGCGTATGATGTGCTGTTGAGACTCCACGATGCATTCTGACCCGGCCACGAACAGGGGCCATAGCAAGAACTTTTCTGCGGCGCTACCGGTCTCGAGACTTGTTGCGTGATGCACAACTTGGCTGACCAGATTCTGGAAGTTGCTGTGCGTCGAAGGCCCATGTGGGTTCGCTAGGCGCTCAGAGTAGAGCAAAGCCGCATATCGGAACGCCTCAGAGACAGCTCCCAGATCATGTATTTGGCTTGTGGTTGGTGATCCTGGTAGTGACATAGCCACCGAGGTTGCGTCGAACCGCCAGTCCTGAAGCTCCTGCCGTGCTGCTTTCCACTCCCTCCAGAAAAGGTATTGGCGTTCGTCAAAGGATACCGATGAATACATCGCAGAGGCGAGCATCTCGTCGTCGTCGAGCTTAGTGGCCAAGCCGTTTTCGCCTGGGCGTGGAGTCGAAATTGTTTCAGTGTGTCCGTGAGCCTCCTGCTGCGGTTGAGTTTGCTCGCTCATGCCTTGTACGGGACGGTGTTGTGATAAGAGATTCAGGCGACCTAATTTGCCAATGGTTTTGAAGAGGCTGCGATCACACCCAATCATGTTTTCAGATCCAGCAGGCAGATCCTGCACGTCAGGAGAAGCCCCCTCGAAGCCAGGAGCCAGTTGTGCTTCTCGCTCGTTGATGCTAGCCGAAATGGCATCAAGGTAGGTAAACAGAGCCTCCATCCATGTAGAGTCCCCGGAAGGAGTCGAGTCTCGGGATTTCCTCATGGCCAGAATCTTGCGCACGCCTGCAAACTGCGTATGGAACTTTGCAATGCCGGATTCAACCATTCGATAGTGACAGAGAAGGAGGATTGTTGCAAGCGCCGAGTCATGGCACGACTTTGATGGATCGCTAAGCTGCTGGTTCAGAAGGTGTACGGCCATGCTTCGATGTTGTATCTCATCATAGAGTGATTTATCCTCTAGTTCTGACGCCTCAGTCGCCTCAGAGGTCTCTTTCTCCACCATCAGAGTTGCGAGCAACTCGCTTGTTCCGAGTCCCAGGCTCAATCTCCTCTTCATCCGCAAGCTACAAGCTGATAAAGCACAGATGGCGTGTTGCACGCTCGGGCTGTCTCGTGCCAGGCGAAGGACATGTTCTCTGAAAGGGTTGTGGGGGCCATCTATGAAGACCATAGAAGGGGCCATGGTGATCCTGAAATAATCCATGAAAAAGGGCATTTTGGCCAACAGAGCCGTCTTGGCGCCAGCTTGTCCGAACCATTGCACTTGCCCACTGCTATGGCGCCTCTGCAGTGCTACTTCTTTTCGTGCAATTCGCGGAGTAGAATCACCCGCGGCGCCGGCTTCGACTTCAGGAACACCTGCTCGCGCATTAGAAGGGGTAGGCCGGCAAGGGCGCCATGTGATGCTCACTGAGGCTTTCACACCCCCGCATAAGCTTGTGGCCAAGGTGCGACTCAAAGGGATCCATGTGGTGGTGGCTGATAGCATGATGGGCCTCTGAGGGGGCGTAGACCAGCCCGGGATAGGAGGTAGGGGCGCGGCAGTGGTCAAGAACCAGCACGGTTGGGGGGCTTTGCGCAATTGGGGAGCTGTGCTGCGCAGGATATCCTTCGTACAAGACAGTCGGGCTGTGGTTGAAGGGAATCTCCTCGCGAGCATATGATTGGCTCAAAGGAGAGAGATAATCCACTTCGCTGCCAACCGACTCGCACGAGGAAGAAAGCGCATCGGTGCTGAGATGGAGAGGATATCTAGTATATCTCGGTGTTCCGTCTGGCGAGTGCACAAGGCTGGGTGCGTAACCGACGCTGCCCCAGCTGCTCTGGGACATTGACGGGGCGTGGCCGTGATGGGAGATGGAGAGGTAGTCGTACGCAGGTACTTGGTATGCCGGGGTGGTAGGCGTCGAAGCCGTATGTGTGGTTGAGGGAATATCAATTGGGCTTCGAGCTAGTTTTGTCGAGAGAGCGGCGGCGCTGGACTGGGCCCTTGCCCGAGAGACGGGCGACTTCTTCGGCTCGCGGGTGACTGGAGGTGCCTTTGCGATGGGCAAAGACAGCCCGCGAAGCTTGCCGCGGCTGGCAACGCCGACACCCCAGGTAAGCTGGGTCTTGTAGCCAGAGCATTCGTTGCCGATCTCGAGGCATTGAGAGCAGTAGGGCCGGCGTCGATCGCATTTGACATTGCGCTTAGAGCATGTAAAGCAGTCGTCCGTAGCACCACCAGCAGGGGCGCGTCTTCTGCGCTTGCGGATGGTAGCCGCCGTGTCTTTGGCAGCCACGGCCACGGTAGGTTGCGCTAGCGGAGCAGTCATGTTGATAGAAGAGAGTGCTGAGATTATGTGCAAGAGTAGGGAGCCGTGTCTTTTCTTTTCCTTGGTGAAGAGAAAAAGAATGAGTTGCTTCGTAGGTTGTAGAGTTACTCAGATGGGTATAGTTGATATCGAGGCCAATGGCTGAAGACGAATGGGAGAAATATAAGGAATGTTGGGAAGAAGCAAGAGGTGAGACGGTGTACTCCGTAGAAGAATTGGTTATGCCAATGAAGCAAGTTGTGCTGGGAGCATGAAACCTCAGTTGAGAACGGGCATGATGGAGGTTATGTATGAGAGGGACGGAATTCTGTGTGGTGTGAACCGGCGCGGTCATGGACCCGGCTGATATGGAACGGCTCATAGAGCATCAAGGTCAGGATGGCACTTCACAGTAGCGGCAAAGGCAGTGGCAGCCGGGACGCTTGTGCCATGGATCGTGAGCAAGGGGCGACTTGCAAGTGATTTCATGGTGGTGGGCTATCTGGATAGAATCCCCGTCCTCTGCAGTAAGAGCCAGCAGCCCTGGACGAAGAGGAGATCAGCGGGCCTGGCACATGAAGAGAGCCTAGCTTAGGACCGGGATTCTTTCTCCAGGGAGGGGTGTGCAGTCAAGACCGTCCTCGGTCGGCCCTCTGGCAGGCTAGCATCCCAGGACACTCGAGTGACAAGGGGCCCAAGTAAAGAGAGCCGCAGACAGGGTGGGTAGTAAGGCATGTGCTGCATGATGGGGAAACAGGGGGGAGGATTAGGGCCGTTCTGTCTTTGATGCCGGTCCCCTGCCCTCAGGGCAAGCCGGGGTATGCTTAGATGGGGGTCGTCGATTGGGGAAGGGATGCGAGAGGGTGTGTGGCATGGGCTTTGTAGATGAGGCGGGCAGACACCTCTACCCAGCTCCGCTGCTAGTACGTAGCAGCATGCAGACGCCAGCAAAGATGTAGAGATGACCCCCAGGACATCTTAAGTCCATGCATCGACTGGCATTGGCACATGGACAGTGCTTGTGAATGGGCTTCTGGCGCGCAGGCCACCCCCTTCCCATAGCTTTTGGGCCAGCAGAGTACTTGCAACTTGCTACCGGCCCTGAGGATGAAGTATGGTTGAAACTCGCAGGCATGTGCCTTTGTATGCAAGAGCTGAGCGAAACGTTTCCTCTGCCTTTATTCTTGGATACAAGATGAAACTTGCAATCGTATGTTGCTGTTTTTGTCCGCCTCGGTCACGCCGTGACCGGCAAGTCAGCCATCGAAATGCTCCTGCTTGGACAAGTGCAGCTTCGATTCCTCAGGTCCACAGCAGTGAGCTCTCGTAATTGCAACAGCCGAGGATATGAAGCACGGAGCAGTACGGAGTAGACAGCGCTTATTAGCTTGCAAGCCGACGGGATCCCCTTGGACGGAACAAATCGAGAGCTGACGGACCTACTCTGCCGGCGCCGCCCTTTGACTGAGACGAGATGAAATGAGACGGCGTCCTTGGGAGAGACTCAACCAGGTCGGTCTGGCGCGCAATGCTGGGACAAGACGTCTTCTGGCTCCGGAGCAGTGAGGCGCTAAGAGGCCCTGGAAGCGGCTCCAAGTTGGTGTCTAGCGTTGCTGTGGCTCCAATTGCACAGGTTCTTTTGCAAAACCCACAGGGAACCCACTCGGAGCCGGCGTTCACCACGCAGATACGTCTCGTACTGTGACTCCATCGTCCTGCCTGGCCCTACTGATAATGCTGGGTACGGCCTGGTAGCAGTACTTGCGGGAGCCTTACCTTCGGAGGCGGCCGCCGCACGCTGGTGCCCAGTAGTAGGGGTAATTGGTCCATGATGAAAGTGCTGGAGCTGCGCCATGAGGAGTTGGTTAAGGCGGTAATATCAACAAGAGGTCGAACAGAAGAAGCGATGAGGTCCTTCGTGTGCTTGGAGAGCCGCCTGAAGACCATCCGCTACTCGAGGGCATGCATTGCCAGTAGCGTCGGCCGAGCCATCTGATGCTTCTGCCATCCTCCGAGTCCCAGTCCCTTTCTTCGAGCGAGAGCCGGTAAAAGCGGCTCAGAGTCCCCAAGGCTATTGACTCCTCGTACGAGCATGGAGGATTGAAATAATGCCCCCCCCTCCCCGGCATAGCAAACATCAAACAATACCGCAGTCAATGCTCTCATGAGGGGCATCGTGAGACGACAACGAGTGACGCAAATGAGGGACTGCCGGAGTATGACTCTCCGGTAGGGCGCACCCACCACCAATGCATGTGAGCAGCGGGCATACACTTGGACTTCGCCCGCACTCAGCAGCTCGAGACATCATCGGCGATGAACAGCGAACTTGTTTGTCTGACTGACTGGCTGGCTGGCTGGCTGGCTGGCTGGCTGGCTGGCTGGCTGGCTGGCCGACACGCTGCTTGCTGGCTTGTGGGGGAGCGGACGCGGGCCGTTGTTGCTGGCCTGGTCCATTTGTTGCCTGATGGGTTAGCGGACGAGCAAGGTGTCGTGTCGTGGGAGATTTCGTCCGAATGCCGGGAAATTTTTTGCATCGGCAGAGGGAATCGCGCCCCCCAATCTCACCATAAACTTCCGCCTCTGCTGGCTGCGCTCGTCATGCTCACTCTCACTCACTCATGCCCGGCTCAGCCCGTGACTGACTCTGCGCCAAAAGGGGGCATCCCACGCGGAAACACAACGCCACCACTCACCGGCCAAGCACGAAACACTGCAGGCACAGCCGAACAGGTAATCGTCGTAGCTGATTGTCAGGGCCGAGAGCGGGTAACCAGCTTGTCGGGAGCTGTGCTCCGGGGCGCCCAGAAGGGAGGAGATGAGCACTGTAGGTGCGACGCTCGGTATGGAGGAGAGCCGCTTGGAAAATGCCACCAACCGGAGGGCCCTGTCGCCAGGCGGACTAGTCGCAGGGCCCGAGGCTAGCATCGTGCTGTTGGCCCGACCAGCGATAGATGCCGTGGCAGAAGCCGTTGATCGCATCTGACACCTGGGCTTGGCCCAACGGTGAAGAGAGGCTTGGCCTAGCTCTCTGGGCTACTGTCGACTAAGGCCCTGTGCTGTCGATCGACGCGTCTCTGCTGTTGGCTATGTTCTGCCCTGCGAGGCGTTTGTTCGCTGGAGTCACTCCAGACAACTTTGGGTTGAGGTTCGTGGGAGGCTGCTTTAGCCCTGGTGCCCGGGTTTGGTTTGGCTCTTGCCGCCGCTGCCACCCTCGAGTTGCTGCTGCCCTGGGAACTTGGATGCGACTGCTTACATGGAATACATGTACGAGTACAGACAGCAGGTACGAGTTCACTCCGACTGCTCCGTGCGTGCTCCGTGCGTGCTCCGTGCGTGCTCCATGCAGACGGAACCCTCATATCTCAAGTACGAGATACAAAAGCGAGTTATGGTCGGCCGGTATTATTGACCCCAAAACGCCGCCATCTGGTACTTGCTCGGGCAGTAAGGGGTACCACACGTTTCGTGCCCACCGCCCGCCAGCAGTACCCACCTGGCACTTGCCCACTTGCACGCCAAGACGTCCATGTCCTCTTGCCCTCTGAAACCGACAGAGGGAAACTACGAAGTACCGAGAGCACCTGCAGCAATAATACCACCAACGATGCCTAAGGTAAGACCGACTATTCCCCTTCAAACGGACACTTTCACCTGTACACCAGTTCTCGAAACACGGCTGGGGCCTGCATCCGGCTCCAATCTACTCACGACGTGCCAGAGATCAGCAGCAGAGCATCGACAGATAGCCGCCTCGAAGATCTTCCAATGCATGCAATATGTCTCGTCGGTTCCTGTCACGCCGCGGATCACGCAGCTGATGTGCACGTGTGAACTCCCTGCCGATTCGGTGTGGTTGTAGCCACTGGCAGCTCATGCTAGCAGCAAGTCACGGCTGCGACAATCGCTCGATGCCGAGTGGAGCGACGCGATTAGATGAAGGACCATCTCCAACGCCCGAGACGGTGTCAGAACGGAGCAGAAGACCAGTGCTGCGTGTCATTGGACAAGGCGGCAGGCTCTCAGCACACAGTGAGGGCTGCTGTCTGCGGCGCACCACCCAAGGGGCATCATCTGATATCATGCGGTATCGACCAATGGCGATATACAAGAGTCAGTCTATACTATGAATTCCAAGCCTTCGGGCGGCGACAAGATGTTTCCCGGTGTCAATATCTCTTGACTACGAGCGGCAGCCTTAGAGAATTCACATCAAGGACGGTGTGGTGGCGAAGCATCTACAGAGGACGTAGAAGGGTATACTACTAATCTTCGCAGGACCTCTTTGTTGCTTTGCTGCTAATTAAATGTCCAAGTGTGTTCCATTGCCATTCAAGTTGCTCCGTCCCGTCTGAGGGGCCGTTAGCACGAAAAAACGGAGCGCCGCCTCCGTACAAGTATGTTTGGACAACGTTGTTCAAGTCTACGATATGGGGAGGGGCACTGCACCCCTCCCCCACTACGCGCCAGGGGACTGAGCAGTCGACAGCAGGACTCATACCAGACGTATTCGCTTTTCCGCCTCGGTCCGGGGACGTGACAGACTAGGTAGACGCCGCAGCGAGGCGATTGTTACACCGGCCCAGGGCCCCTGCTAGGATGCTCGAAACCCGTGCTGTCTGCTCTCGTCGAGATTCATGGTTCAATTAGTACTGTTACTTGTACAAATCTCAGTCTCGGTCTTATCAGAAGATGCTTGCTTCTACCGCCTCAATGTCCCGCGCAGAGGCACCTTGCCGCTCGCTGACTCGGTCTGGCCTGATTCAGCGTCTCACTGCGTGGGATGTCGAGCATTGCTCACACGTCCCACGCATGTACAAGCATGGAGCATCAAGCGCAGGCAATTGGCAGCTTATCGCAGGGTAAGGACTTCTTGTTTTGGCGACAGGCGTGTGTAGAGGAGAGCTGAGCAGGGTTCATGGTTCTTGCAACAACCTCAGCAGATTGCCTATGTGCTGAGGCACATGCGCCGTGTCTTGCTGCTATTCGTGCCACCAACGTGATTCGCTCTTCCAGAAACATGCTGTGCCGTTGCGCCCAAGCATTGGCCGTTCATTTCCCCCTAGTCTGTACGTTCATGCGATAGCCACGCGAGACACCGAAGGTCGAAAACGGTTATGGGGACTGCTTTCGATGCATTCTTTTGTCCAAGTGGGTTATCGTTTACGTCGGCCATTCGTTTGCCCTTCTCCTTGCTTTCATCCGCTTTCTAAGCCTTTGGCTGATACTCTTTGCTTATCGACTCGTTGTATCTGAGCCTGCACTTGTCTTTTGCGAGCCGCTAGACTGTCGTCTTCTGCAAAATCGCCGGCAGCTGGGGAGAAATATCCGCGCCCTCTGCTCACTCGTGCACGGGAGGCTGTGGCGAGCCAGGGGAATTCTTGATGTCACTGTACTTGCACTTGTCTACAGAGCAACCGGCGGACCTGGCCGGGATGTCCTCATTGGAGGATGCGTAAACGGCCAGCCAACCTTCTGCAATGGTTGCTGCGAGACTTCTTGGACGGAGCATATAGCATCACGCATGTATGTGCCTTGGTTGTTTTGCGGGTTCTTACACCCGAAAGGTCACTGTCCGGACAGGCTCGCCTCGCTTCTTTTCACCGGCTCACTTCAAATTACTCGTGGTATTACGGACAAGGTGGTGGATGGCATTGGAGTTATCATTCGCCTCGTCAGCTGCTCGATGCCGACACTGAGGATGACAAGTCGTGGCAGCGTGACCGGATTGGGCCAACAGATGGCGGCTCTGGCGTGTCGATCACCGGCAGCTCCACCAAACAAAGCGCGTATCAACCCTTGTTCTTTCAAGGCAGCACCTGGATAAGTCTGTCGACCTGCTCAGGTCTTCGGTGTGTCTCTAGCATGGCCTGTTCTGTCAATTCTCGCCTCTCGCTTCTGCTCAATTGCCAGTGTCAAAGCTGCCAAGGCTGCCCATGGGCGAGGGCTACGTACGGAGGCATCACCTATCGTTCTTGGCATGCTGACGCCACGGGATGGCAAGCTGTGATCTCATTGCCGAGCCAGAAATGCGTGACATATATTATTACATGCTGCGCCCTTTTTGATTTCAGAATGCGAACAGGCAGCGCTACATGCGCAGACTGGCCCATTGCCAAAGGCAAACAGACGCTGCAGCCATATCCGACGCATCGAACATACGAGGTGCTTTATGTCAATACACATACCACTCGGTAAGTATATCTGCCCTTTCCTCCTCAGACGCCTTATCATCTACCCAGACCGAAATGCATCAGCTTCGGCTGCGTTATAACTTCCATTCGGCTTGCCCGTATTATATACGACGATGGCGTTATCACCAGGTGGGGGCACCTGAATGATGTGAGGGAAAAAGAGAAAGAGAAGGAAAAGAGCGAAAACAGAAACATTACAGCAGAAGACGACTCAAGCAAGCTGTCCTTGTTAGCCCACTCCTGCTATTACCTAGGCAATCTATCACGTCGGCGAAGTGACAGACATTGGAACCTTGAAAAGCGATAAGAGCTGCAGTGACGAGCGGCTTCTGGTGCATGGAGCTCCAGCGGCGTGCCTTAGCAGCTTGCCAGTGGATACGCCGTGTCCTGTGAAGACAGTGCAGATCCAGGGGCCAGAGGGCGAGTCAAGCCGCTAGAAAAGGCGAGGAACGCGGCGTAGAAGTCCAGGCCAAAGTCTAAGCCTCAGTGGTGATCCAAAAGTCCCTCGGCCGCTTCTGGCAGACCAAGAATTGGTGGCGCTGGACGCGATGCTTGTCTGGGCGCATGGCGCTGGATGCCGAGAGATCTTCCCGCGTTAACGCCTCTGGCCTTCTCAGGTGATCTTTTTGCCCCCAATGTACCAAGTACTGGCCAGGGGCACAGAATGCGGGCGACGACTCGTGTACCTCCACTTTCCGGTGCGCTTTCCTCTTCGCTCTTAACCTTATCGATTGGCTTAAGCGAGTACCTGAACGAGGCGTCGTCACATGGCCGTGGGGGCAGAGGCTTATGTAAGGTCCTCGTCGACCAATGCCGTCAAGCGGGGTTGCTCTCGCTTTTCCCCCAGCGGGTATCGGGAGTCCTCGCCGTCTGTTGGACGCCATCAACCGGAACCTGTCAAAGCTGGATGGAGGCGGTGGGATCCTCGTCGGCCATCAAACTCTTGGCGACCAAGCAATCGAGCCCAATGCCGGAGAAGTCCCTGAACGGGGATAGCATCACGATCTCTGTGGGCAGAAATCGATTCTGGGCCGGGAGACAAGATAGTGGCTAGTCAACGGCGGCCTCAAGGCCTCATACCGACTATCCGGCCGGACTCTCTCCCGATGGCCCGCCCAGGAGAGTGGAATCGAGGTGTGATATCCGTGGACGTGCCACTTGTACCTTGACTACTGCTTGGGCAGAAAGGAGAACGCCAAAGGTATGAGGTTTCGACATATCAGCTGTCTCTGATTTGCACTTTGGCGTTCATCTCGCCGCGGCCCACGGGTACGCCCAGGAGCCCGATGACGTTGGCAATGCCCGGAGTCGGTTGTTTCATCTTCTGATGGCAATCAAGGCACAATTTCTTAGATCTAGGCTTGGCAGAGCGAGGTTGCCCATGCCCGTAACACATTTTGCTCCCGGATGGACCTACGTACAGTCGAACACTCGAAAGATGCCTCATCACAGGTGTTATCAAGGCTGGGCCATGGGATTTATCGTTGCTCCCCGATTGGCCGAGGAGAAAGAGCCAACTGGGAGTACAACGTTGCAGTGATGCCTCGACATTTCTCTGTGCGGGCTGTTACCCTCCTTCACCTTGCGATGCCGCCGGAGTCCTGTCAAAGCACTCCCCTTGGCTCCATACAATGCTTCACGTCCCGTACCGAATACTTTTCGCCCAGCGTTGTGGTATCAAGTCGAAATGGCGCATCCACGCTTGGCCTCGTCATGTCCTGCGTTATCGAAGAC